TTTTCGGGACCTGACATGTCGGCTTGTTTGAAGACCCAACATTCTCTGTTGGTATGATTGGTTTGTGTTCTTGGGGTGCCATGAATTTGGCATGGACGGTCGAGTATACGGTCCAAAATGGACGTGCCCGGACTGTTTCTTTTGAATTGTTTCTTCCTTTGACCAGTAGTAGAGCCGCTGAATCCGGCATTGACGGTCGTGTCTTTGGCGTTGTCGCCATTATTACGGCGCTTGTGTTTGCTGCGTCTGGCTTGCCGTTGCTATCTCTGGCATCTGAGGTGCCATGATTTCTTGTTGTGCTGTTGCTACGAGCTAACCATCTATCCTCGCCCGCACAAAAGCGGGTCATGAGTGTCGTGAGGTCTGCCATTGACTTCGGATTCTCTTGGTCGAGGTGTCGGGCAAGCCACTCATCACGGATGTTATGCTTAAAGGCCGCTAGGGCTTCAGCGTCCGGACAGTCGACAATTTGGTTCTTTTTAGTTAGGAACCAAGTCGAGAATTTCCTGGCTGACTCTCCGGGCTGTTGGGTTATGTGACTCAAGTCATCAGCGTCCGGTTGTCGCACTTAAGTGCCCTGGCAGTTGTCAAGAATGCGTCTTCCAGGTTCTCCCTACTGCTTATGGAGTTCGCTGGCAGACTATTCAGCCAATGCCGAGCCGGTCCCTTGAGCTTTAGCGGGAAGTACTTGATGGCATGTAGATCATTGCCGCGGGCCATGTGAATGTGGAGAAGGAAATCTTCTATCCATACCACGAGGTTTGTAGTCCCATCGTAGGGCTCTATATTCATGGGCTTAAACCCTTTTGGGAATTCGTGCTCCATTACTTCGTCAGTGAAGCATAGGGGGTGTGCGACGCCTCTATGCCGGGCTACATCACGACGCAGTTCAAATGAGTCTGGTATGTTGTATTCGGCCCGGCCGGATTTTTATTTAGTATATCCGGCGTGGCGGTGATCGTCACGCGTTGGGGTGCTCCCCCATGATCCGTAGATCGATCTTGATTGTCCTGCTTTGTTTTCCAATTTGTCTCGCAGGTCGTGCGTGTAGCCCCGGGCCTTCGTGTTTTTATTTTTTTGGCGACGGGGTGCGGGCTGGTGTTCGGGCCGATACGCCGCTTTGTCTCGGCCACGAGGTGGCCGGTCAGCCGCATCCTGCGCTGGTAGTGTAGGCTCTAGTGCCTCCTCCTCGAATTGAGGTAACAACCTGCGCTTCGGGTAACTTTTGGTTGGGCGCTCGAGTCCGTATTCCTCGGCTGCCAGGACCTCAGTCCATCTATCAGTTAGCAGATCTTGATCAGCTTGAAGCTGCTGCTGTTTTTTCTTCAAGCTTTTTGCAGTGGCTATAAGATGGCGCTTGAAGCACTCCTGCTCGATGGGATCCTCAGGCACGATAATTTCTTCATCGCCGAGGCTTATCTCGTCTTTGGAGAGAGGCATGTAATTGTCATCCTCCGAGTCTCCATCCATTGCCTGTTCATCAGGGCTAGCTTGCCCATCCTCCCGTTCGGCTTGCTCGAAGCTTGGCTGGGCGGGATTGCTTTCGTCTTTGGCATCATCCAGAGTGCTATTGTCTCTTGTGCCGGTATCGCTATTTTTGCTATGGCGGGGCTTAGAGCGGCGCCGCTGATGCCGGCGCTTAGAATGCTTCTCAAGGGGATTATCCTCGGTTGCCTCATCGCCATTGCTTTCCTTGGGTGTGTCCACCATATATATATATATATATATATATATATATATATATATATATATATATATATATATATATATATATATATATATATATCATATGACGAGGTGACAGTCCAGCGCCCTGTGGGCGGTGGTTCCCGTTCTTCTCCAGCATCGTCATCCATACCGTCTATGTCTTCGGAGTCGAAATCAAGCATGTCGGTTAAGTCGTCGACAGTGGCTATTAAGTGGGTGGTGGGTGGTTTACTAATTTCTTCGCCGTCCGCTTCCCACTCAAGTCGGACATAGTTCGGCCAAGAGTCTCCTAACAGGGAGAGAGATTTTAATGAGTTTAGCACATCACCCAAGGGTGAGTGTTGGAAGATATCCACGGAGCTAAACTCCATGATCGGTGCCTAGTCAGGTTCGATGGGCACGGATGCGCGCGGTCCGGAGCCCATGGCCGGAGATGAGTCCGAGGGTCCGATGACATAGACCTCATTGGAGGCGAAGTCTGTGTTCGGCTCTATCGCCGCTGAGTGTGCGACCTCCGTGGCGGGGTCCATCCACCCGTCCTTGGATGGCACGATCTGCTCCGGATTTAGAGCCAGGGCAGCTGCAGTTGCAATCTCTAGAACACCGTCCGATGGCAGATCTAGGTCATGCTCATCGCGACTGTGGGGTGCACCCGTTACGGGCTCGAATCTGTCGAAGATCAAGTCTCCATGGATGTCGGCAGTGTAATTCGGGCTTTCGAACCTGACTTGATGGCCAGGGGCATAGCTATCGATCTGCTCCAGATGGCCAAGCGAGTTGGCCCGCAGTGCGAAGCCCCCGAATACGAAGATCTGTCCGGGGAGGAAAGCCTCACCCTGGATCGCGTCGTTGTAGACGATTAAAGGAGCCATTAAGCCTTACCGTGATGACATAGTGGAACTCTCAATGAATGCACCAATGTCGGTGTCAAAACCATCGGATCTCGGGTAGGGGGTCCCGAACTGTGCGTCTAAGGCTAATGGTAACATGAGGCGGGGGACACAATGTTTACCCAGGTTCGGGCCCTATCTATGGAGGTAATACCCTACTTCCTGCTTGATTGATCTTGATGCTATGAGTATTACAAGAGTTGATCTACCACGAGATCGTAGAGGCTAAACCCTAGAAGCTAGCCGATGATTATGATTGTTGTTGTCCTACGGACTAAACCCTCCAGTTTATATAGACACCGGAGGGGGCTAGGGTTACACAGAGTCGGTTACAGAGAAGGAAATCTAAATATCCAAATTGTCAAGCTTGCCTTCCACGCAAAGGAGAGTCCCACCCGGACACGGGGCGAAGACTTCAATCTTGTATCTTCATAGTCCAATAGTCCAGCATAAGCATATAGTCCGGCTGTCCGAGGACCCCCTAATCCTGGACTCTCTCGGACATGCTCGCCAGATATCGAGAGTTGACGGATTGGAGGAAAGGAGGAGAGGAGACTGACAAGAACGGAGTAAAGTGAGGTTAGGGCTTGATTCGGATGGGGTTTTGTGGGGTCGCTGTCAGCCAAGGTATGTCGTGCTGACGTGGCGAACGCACCCGAGAAAGCCTGGGGCGCCTCATATACGCCTTGCATTTTGGGTTGGATCTGAGGGGTGCCGGACAACCCGAACGTTTGAGGCCGATTTGAGGCGTTCGAGTGGGTCAGGTTTTTTTGCTCGGTCAGCCACCGGTTCGCCCGTCCGGGCGTTTGAAACCGGTTTGAGGCACCCGGCTGTAGAGGCTCTTAGCTTACACTGATGTAAGAGATAATATCATAAGTTGAGTGCTAACATGCCTATAGTTTTGGGCTTTTTAAAAAAAAGATTAGGTGCCTAAGATTTTGGGAATGAGGGGGTATATTTCATTTCTTGGCTTGAGGCCCTCCATTTCACACCTTATCCCATCTATTCAGGCGGAGGTTAGGTTTTGGGCTAGAGCTGGAGCCAAATGGATCCACTTAGGATGCGTTTGGTAGTCTATATGAAATCTACCAGACCCGCGCAGTATAAATTTCATCTTTTTGCTTGCCTACATTGCATCAAAATCTTAGCCCGCACAAACTTGAAGCACGTGTGGGTGTGGCTATGAAGTAATGCTTAAATCAGTAGTTTCCAGCGAGTCAGGCCCGAGCGGTCTAACTAGAGCTCAGGTGATGGCACTTCTGGTGCTAGTCGGCGCAACCTGTATTTAGAGTTTGCCCTTGTCCTGCGCACTCATCTTTCGTAATCCCCTTCACAAAATCCCTTCTAGTCTATACAGTAGTGTTTTGATTCGAAATAATCTTTACATAAAAAAAATGTACATCGATGTTTTGGTTCCATTCCGACAATTGATTCCTAATTTCGTGGAATGTAAATCTTCAATTTTATTTTCTTGTTTAGTGTTTTTTTAGACGAATTTTGCCAAACTCTTCGTACTTTTTTTTAGAAAAGGAGGATCACCTGGGCCTTTACATCAAAAAATGCACATGGATGAACGTTTGAAATTCTCTTTGACCACTAACTTTATCTCCCAGTTTCACACGACTGGGCGTTAGTTACCTGAAAAACAATTTGCGGCTAATCAATTCCGTGACAGTTGGATGAGCATCTGAGGATTGTGACACCTTCTTCTACCTTGAACCTGTCCTTCTCTTCATCGTTGAGCACCACGCTCTCACATGAGGTAAGTTCATCATGAGAAATAAGAGATGAGATTAATCATTCGTGCGGGCATAACCAAAGCACAGCACGTTGCATTTGTGGAGCAAATGCTTGCAACCAAACAATTGTGCCTGTATTTCTGTCCAGGGCCGAGGAGGATGCAGCAAAATCAAAATCTATGCATAATGTAAAAAAAAAAATCAGCGAAAAACATAAAACCGATAAGAAACAAAATGGCACTGTCCCTGCGCCGTCGAGTTCTTTCGACACCACGGACAGTCGATTGGACTGAAAATGGCGACGATGAATCGGCTGTAGCAATTAAACCCATCTCCACGGTACACGAAAGAACGAGGCATCCGATCCATGCACGCGCGCCGGCAAGCACGCAAAGCATACCGGCCGCAACAAGAGCAGGAACCGAAAATGCTCAACCTCTCGTCCCACCAACGCGCTCGGCCGAGGAGATCGCGCAGACCTGGCGAGCTCGATCCCACGCGATCCCAACCTCTTTTCCCGTCCAAATCTCGCTCGCATTCGCCCCAACGATTCCGGCCGATCCGGTTCGCCACCCGCCTCCGGAGAAGCCGACGACAACGGCGGCTAAACAGTATCGCGGGGAGGAGAGAATACATGTAAGGGCGCCCGGAGACGGCGCGGACAATGAGGGCCGCCGCCGGGGCATGCTCCGGCGGCGGCAAGGACACCCTGGTGGCCTCCTTCCTCCGCTTCATCCTCCTCTTGCTTCTCCCTCTCACCGCTCTGTATATCCTCTACGCCCTGCATGCCATTCTGTCCTCCACATACCCGCCTGAACATGATCGCATCATGGCCGCCGCCTCCGTCTCACACGTCACCACCCACAACCATACATCATCCATGCCGCCGCCTCCCCTTATGGTCACGGTATCGACGCCGAGGACACCGCCTCCACCGGCCATTGTCACGGTGCCGACGGCGAGGATGCCGCCGACGCCCGCCACGGTCACGGTGGTGTCGACGGCGAGGATGCCTCAACCACCCGCCACAGTCACGGTGGTGACGACGGCGAGGATGCCACCACCACCCGCCACGGTCACGGTGGTGATGACGCCAAGGATGCCACCATCACCAGCCGCGGTCACGGTGGTGTCGACGGCGAGGCTGCCACCACTACCCGCCACGGTCACGGTGGTGTCGACGGCGACGATGCCACCACCACCCGCTACGGTCCCGGTGGCGGTGGTGACGACGGCGAGGATGCCACCATCACCCGCCGCGGTCAAGGTGGTGTCGACGGCGAGGCTGCCACCACTACCCGCCACGGTCACGGTGGTGTCGACGGCAAGTACGCTACCACCATCACCACCTGCCACGATCATGGTGTCGACGACGCCGACGACGCTGCAGCACTTGGTGTTCGGCATCGCGGCGTCGGCGCGCATGTGGGAGAAGCGGAAGGAGTACATTAAAATCTGGTGGCGCCCTAACTCTGGCATGCGGGGTTTCGTATGGCTGGACCGCGGCGTGCGGGAGTCGAGGGTGCCGGAGGGGCTGCCGGCCATCAAGATATCCTCTGACACCTCCGGCTTCCCCTACACGCACCGGCGCGGCCACCGCTCTGCCATCCGCATTTCCCGCATCGTCTCTGAGACCTTCCGCCTCGGGCTCCCAGGCGTGCGCTGGTTCGTCATGGGCGACGACGACACGGTCTTCCTCCCGGACAACCTCCTCGCCGTCCTCGGGAGGCTCGACCACCGGCAGCCATACTACGTCGGCTCCCCCTCCGAGAGCCACCTGCAGAACATCTTCTTCTCGTACGGGATGGCGTTCGGCGGCGGCGGCTTCGCCATCAGCCAGCCTCTGGCGGCGAGGCTGGAGCGGATGCAGGACGCCTGCATCCGCCGGTACCCGTGGCTGTACGGCAGCGACGACCGGATCCAGGCGTGCATGGCGGAGCTGGGCGTGCCGCTCACGAGGCACCCGGGGTTCCACCAGTACGACGTGTACGGTGACCTCCTGGGCCTCCTCGCCGCCCACCCGGTGGCGCCGCTGGTGTCGCTGCACCACCTCGACGTAGTGCGGCCTCTCTTCCCCAACGTGCGCTCGCGCCCGGCGGCTCTGCGGAGGCTGTTCGACGGGCCGGTGATGCTGGACTCGGCGGGGGTGATGCAGCAGTCCATATGCTACGACGCGGCGAACCGGTGGACGGTGTCGGTGGCGTGGGGGTTCGTGGTGACGGTGACGAGGGGCGTGATGCCGGCGCGGGAGATGGAGATGCCGGCGCGGACGTTCCTGAACTGGTACCGGCGCGCGGACTACAAGGCGCACGCGTTCAACACCCGGCCCCTGGCGCGCAACCAGTGCGAGAGGCCCGCGCTCTACTACCTGGCGTCGGCGCGGCGCACGGTGGTGCGCACCGGGGAGACCACCGTGACGAGGTACCAGCGGTGGCGCCACCGCAACGATGTACGGCCGCCTTGCCGGTGGAGGATCCCCGACCCGGACGCGCTGCTCGACAGCGTCATCGTGCTCAAGAAGCCTGACCCCGGGTTATGGGACCGGGTAAGTAACCCTCGCTCTGCCATTTTGATGTGTCAAACTGAGCATTTCTTTCTACCATTAGGTGTTCAGATTCAAGTGATACTGACTGGTGATCGATATGAACTTGCAGTCCCCGATGCGGAATTGCTGCCGGGTGCTGTCCTCTCCGAGGAAAGAAGGGGGCGGGAACAAGACGATGACCATAGACGTGGGTGTATGCAAGGACTGGGAGTACAGTCAAGTATAGTTTCATTCATTCGCTCGTTAACTCAAATAGGCAGAAATGCATAGGTGATCAAAGTTTCTTTTCTTTTTCTCCTGCATTCGCACACCTGTAAGATACAATCATAGTGACACTTGGATGCCTAGTAACAGCACACTGTGAGCGTTAATCAGAGGAACTCCATTACTGCTGCGTTGTGTTTTGGACATTGTACCCATTCAGCACTGAACTTGAACACACCAACTAGCGAAAACAACCCTGCACTGACTGAGATATCCACAATTCCATGTAGGAGTAACAAACTTGCAGATTAAGCGTGCGATGACGAACACTGACAGAAAAACTTACAGTGGATTACAGGATCTACATGCACTTAGGAAAGATGGAGGTAACAAGAGATCAGAGATAAGCCATGGTCATTCCATTGCTGCCGTAAGCAGAAGCACAGGCTAAACTGGAACCATGTTGCCCTTATCTCTGAAGTTTTTCTTATGCATGAGCGTGAAAATAATGACCGTCGCAGCTCAAATGCAACACTAACATGTTCCGAACGCCTCCACAAAAGGGACAATTGTTTCATTCGCTCCTGGTACCGCACCAGAGACGCGATCCAGAGACGATTTTTTTGCCTTCTTCAACACCAGAGACGCTGGGTCCCGTCTGCCACCCCAATGGCGGGAGCAGGCGGGGACCCAGGCAGCTTCTATCAAGTAGAGGTATAGAATAGGCATGGTTTGCTTTTAGAGGTGCTGCATCAGCAGTGAGGATGGTGCTCCGTCGAATTAATTTGCGTCTGCTATTTCTCTTTCTCGATGGCATTCTAATGGACGGCGCTAGGGAGTAGGTGGATCGGTCTTCTTGCATGTCTTCAAATCCAGTGAATACAATGACAGTTGCAGCTGAAGTGCAACATTAACATGTTCCAAACGCCTCCACAGAGGGGACAACCGTTTCATTCGCTCCTGGTACCGCACCAGAGAGGCGATCAGGACGCGATTTTCTTGCCTTCTCAACACCGGCGACGCTGGGTCCCGGTCTGCCGCTCCAGCGACGGGAGCAAGCGGGGACCCCGGCAGTTTCCCTCCGGTAGAGGTATAGAATAGGCGTAGTTTGCTTTCAAAGGTGCTGCATCGATGGTCAGGACGGTGTTGCGTCAAAATAATTTGCTTATGCTCTTTCTCCATCTCGGCGGCATTTTAATGAGCGACGCCGGTGTGCAGGTGGCTTGTCTTCAAATCCGGTAAGATTTGTGTCTGGTGGTCAGCACATGACACTCTCCTGGGTGGCGTTGCTGTCGACTGTTGCGGTTGGGTTTGGTGTCTTGCGGTTGCAGTGGGGTGCATGGATGACAGCATACAACGTCGTTCCTCTTCTTCGATCGCGGCAGATGAAGTTGACGGTGCTGGGATCTAGCGGAGGGGAAGAACCCCGCCCGACGTGTCACAAATCCTTGGTCTTGTCGCTTGTGGCCGTCCGGTTCATCGGCTTGAAAAGCTTCCTTATATGCAAAGGTGCAAGATTCCTCAAGCCGACGTGTACTCCTTGCGCCATTCTAGTTTTACTCCTTGCAAAGTCTTTGATGGCCGTCCGGTTGCATCAGATTGCAACAGGAGGTGCTAGATTCCTCAAGTCTTATGATCACTGTTGTCCACAGCAAAATTGACCGGAACGCAGCTAAAATAAGAACAGATCTAGTAGTAGATATCTGTACTGAGGGGAGCCTAAATGCAGAATTTGTGGATCAAAAGCGACGTTTGCCCAACAATAACAAACGGACCAGCAACTTCACACGTGGACACTACCAGGTAGCATAAACAAATCAACTCAAGTGGAAAATTCAACATAAACGGCCGTTTTAGCGTACTGCTTATGGTGTTGATTGGCAAGTTGTTCCCTCACTAAAATGGCTTAACAACCACTCTTCGGAATATGACCGAAGATATGCTGTTTTTTTAGATATGCTTTAATTGTTGCACATCTAAGTGACTACTAAAAAAAAGACAAAAGACAAAACAAAATGCTTACACAAATCTTAGCGTAAAATCAATTACATAGGATTTAGATGTGCAATATTTAGAGTAGAGCACATTTAGATGTGCTTTAGCAAAACAATTTTTTTCTTCAAAAATCATAGAGTACAACATAGACATATACGTGCCCGCGACACATATTGAAGGCTGAAGTAGCAGAGCTTCAAAATTGATGAATTCATCACGTGCGTCATTTGGTTGTATGTGGTGAGATCCAATGGGGGGTGAGTAACAAGGAGACATGGATCAAGCTGATGGGAAACACCAGTCATGAGTCTGTTAACGCCAAGCTATAGACTGAAGACGAAATCAGGAAAATTGGTAGCTAGATGCTCAGGAATTGCTCCGAGACGAGGATGTGTGTTTGAGATCCAGAGTAGGAAAACTACAAGCCAAGGACTACTATCATGTACCAATCGCGAAGTGGCAACTCACACAACACATACCTCGTATATAGCTAGTCGACGGCCTAGTCTTTTGGTAGATAGCATCGTGACGTAACATGGGGCCTCCTATCAGGTCGTTGGGTCCTCATCTTCCTCCTCTACACCCTGGGTTCAGCTGGGGTGCTAACACTCCTCCTTCATATAGGGCACCAGCTTGTCCCCAAGCTGGCACGCGCGAAAAGCGTAGGTGAAGTTCCTAGAGGTCTTCCATGTCACCAATGACTAATATTAGTTAGACCATTGAATTAGCCCTAGAGAGATTGTTGTAGAACCTTGTTGGTGCAGATGACGCTGCAACACCGAACTGGAACTGCAAATTGAGCATCAGTAGGAGGAAGGTCTGGTTTTACATGGCAAATTTTCCCCAGCACTTGCTTCAGCTGCAAGACATGCAACATCGGGTGGATGCGGCTATGTTATCGAAGATGCAGGTGATACGTCGAAGCACCCACTCTTTCTTACACTTCAAATGACCCATAAAATTTGAATAAGAGCTTGTGGTGTGCGCACGAGGCCACATAAGACTGAATATAAGACGGAAGCTTGAGGAAAGCGAAATCACCCACTTTAAACACGTGGTCAAAGTGCTTCTTATCAGCTTGGTGCTTCATGCGAGCACGAACAAGCTCTAGGTGCAGTTGCAACGGGCAAAGAACCAAGGCATGAGCTTGAACCCAAGAATCCAGATTAGACACTTCACATGTGTGACGCCCCAACTTAATCGTGCACTAATCATACATGCAAATGCGCATGATCAAGATCACACACTCATGGGAAGATATCATAACACAACTCTAGACACAAATTCAAACATAAAGCTTTATATTACAAGCCAAGGCCTCGAAGGATCAAATACATAAGTCAGCGAAAGCAACAACATGTGAGTACAGACATAAGATAAACAAGTCTGCCTTAAGAAGGCTAGCAAAACAACCATATCTGGATCGAAAAGGTGCAGGCCTCCTGCCTGGGAGCCTCCTAATTACTCCTGGTCGTTGACGGACTCCACGTAGTAGTAGGCTCCGTCGTGGTAGTAGTAGTTATCGGTGGGATCAACTGGCTCCTGGGATCCGTCATCTGATCACAACAATTGGGTAGAGGGGAAAAGAGGTAGCAAAGCAATTGTGGGTACTCATCCAAAGTACTCGCAAGACTTACATTAGATCTATACTAAGTATGCATCAGTATCAAAGGAATGGGGCTATATCTTTGGACTGAACGGCAAAATTCCAGAATAGAAGGAAAGACCTAGCCTATCGAAGATTAGCATCTTGCAGCGTCTTGCAGCACTAGAAGATTGCAGATTAGCATATTATAAAGTAACAAGTACATTTAGTAACGCCCAGATATCCTTTCTCGACTCCCTGCGAGAATGCAGAGCTATCATATCCATTTAGTGTCACAAGTATCAAGTTCTAGTTGTAGTATATCGGGATACAACTCTGAGCGTCTGTTGCCGTGGACACATCTATTCGAATAGATTTACTTCCCTATAGGGCTGCACTAACTTACCCAACATGCTTGATTAACTCCGGATGGACATGTTGGAAATATGCCCTAGAGGCAATAATAAATTAGTTATTATTATTATATTTCCTTGTTCATCATAATCGTTTATTATCCATGCTATAATTGTATTGATAGGAAACTCAGATACATGTGTGGATACATAGACAACACCATGTCCCTAGTAAGCCTCTAGTTGACTAGCTCGTTGATCAATAGATGGTTACGGTTTCCTGACCATGGACATTGGATGTCGTTGATAACGGGATCACATCATTAGGAGAATGATGTGATCGACAAGACCCAATCCTAAGCCTAGCACAAAGATCGTGTAGTTCGTATGCTAAAGCTTTTCTAATGTCAAGTATCATTTCCTTAGACCATGAGATTGTGCAACTCCCGGATACCATAGGAATGCTTTGGGTGTACCAAACGTCACAACGTAACTGGGTGGCTATAAAGGTGCACTATGGGTATCTCCGAAAGTGTCTGTTGGGTTGGCATGAATCGAGACTGGGATTTGTCACTCCGGTTGACGGAGAGGTATCTCTGGGCCCACTCGGTACGACATCATCATAATATGCACAATGTGACCAAGGGGTTGATCACGGGATGATGTGTTACGGAACGAGTAAAGAGACTTGTCGGTAACGAGATTCAACAAGGTATCGGCATACCGACGATCGAATCTCGGGCAAGTACAATTCCGCTAGACAAAGGGAATTGTATACGGGATTGATCGAATCCTCGACATGGTGGTTCATCCGATGAGATCATCGTGGAACATGTGGGAGCCAACATGGGTATCCAGATCCCTCTGTTGGTTATTGGCCGGAGAGTTGTCTCGGTCATGTCTGCATGGTTCCCGAACCCGTAGGGTCTATACACTTAAGGTTCGATGACGCTAGGGTTATAGGGAATAGATATACGTGGTTACCGAATGTTGTTCGGAGTCTCGGATGAGATCCCGGACGTCACGAGGAGTTCCGGAACGGTTCGGAGGTAAAGATTTATATATGGGAAGTCATCATACGGTCACCGG